AAAAATAAATTAAAATATTTTTTTAAAAGTGCAGCATATCATTTCATGTGGAATTTTCAAGCGTCACAAACTACTGACCTTCAGGTTAGCAGATGAGCACTTCAGCAACTATGTCAACAAGGCTCCTTTATTTGAAAATGTCACTTTAAAAACTTCTGATATCTTAAGATCTTAACAAAATATTCTGTTTCACAATATTCAGTCATTATGCCCAAGAATGTATATTTTAATAAATATTACTTTGATATTTTATAGTAAAACTTTAACTGTTATCATTAAAATTAAATAGCCTCACTCTTAAATTCCAGAAAAACAATAATGGAAAAATAAAATTATTCTGTAATAATATGGAAAGTGCAGAAAATAGCACTGACTACAAAAACCCACCCATGTGGGTACATATATTCACATCTGACCATTTTCTTACACTAAAATGGGAAAGATGATTTCTAAAACTAAAGAGTGTAATAAAGACATTATTGAAATTTGCTTTTAAAAATTATTTTGCATAAGTTCATCAATAATTTTAGGATTATAAACTATATATATGTACTTGTTACTGATTATCTTGTCCTCTCACAATCACCATTTTGCCATTCATGAGGTGTGAGTATTGATGCAAGGAGTGCAGTGAAGGTCGAGGTTTTGTGTCAGTCTGGCTGGGCCATAATTCTCAGTGGTTTGGCAGTTATGCAACAGTGGAGTCATCCTCCATTTTTTGCACAATGCCTACTGCTTTTAATGACCTTGTCTTGGGTACTACTCATGTGCATAAGTAAGGATGGATGTACTTATATATAGTGTTATTTGCCATCAAGTGGTAACCAACTCCTAGCTGACCCTCCAGCAGGTGATCAGAGGTTGTATATTGCATAGGAGGAGACTGGCCATCATTCTCCTGACATATACTAGATAACTGGAATTTAAAATATTGTCATCCTTCAAAATAATTTTATTTCCACTGAACTACATTTATTTCTCTGTGACTTAACTAATATTGTGTGATACTCAGACCATAAAAGGCTAAAATTTATTCTGGCTATCTGCATTTCAAAACAAAATATCATTAGCTTTTTAGGTAGGGGTTGTAATAGATAACACAAAGTGCTGGTGGCATAGTCCATAGAGAGTTGTGATGCTAACCCAAAGGCCTTGCTTCTCTGATGGTTTGAATTCACTTGCAGCTTTCTGAAAGAGATGGGTAGTCTCTTCCCTAGCAATTGACAACCTTGGAAACCCAAGGAGGATCATCTATGCATTGGAGGCTTCTCATCAGCCAACCTGAACTCTGTCCTATCCTGAGCCAAATGCATCACCTCTGACACACTAAAGCCCATTACTTTGTAAATCCATCTTGTTAGGAGCCTTTCTTTGATTCACTGACCCGCCACCTATCCAAGCATGATGTCCCTTTCCAAAAAAACAGCTGACCTAGCTACATACATGTCCAAAATATGAAAGACAAAGCTTCATCATTTTTGTCTCCAAGATGTCCTCTGGCTGCAGTTTTCCCAAGACATATCTGTTTGTTCTTTTGGCAGTCCATGGGACATCCAGCACCACAACTCAAAGGCATCAATTCTTCTGTCACCCTTATTTTGGTAGTCCATGGCATACTCAGTACTCTTCTCCATCACCATAGTTCAAAGGCATCAATTGTTCTATTATCCTTATTCAATGTCCAGCTCTCTGCAGCACAGTGAGTGATGACTGAAAAGGCCATGGTGTGAATCAGGTACACCTTAGTCCTCATACTGTTTTCACTGTTCCTTAGTACTTAGGAGAAGTTCCTGTCTGTAGATTTTAGGTACACTTCAGTCCTCAAACTGTTATCATTGTTCCTCAGTAATTAGGAGGGGTTCCTTACTGCAGACTTTCCCAGTACAATATGTCTCCTTATCTAATGACTACTGGTACCAAGTGTATTGATTGTGAATCCAAGTAAGATGAAGTCATTGACAAGTTTCAATCTTTTCTCCATTTATTATGGTGTTATCTATTGATCCAGTGGTGAGAATTTTTCTTTCCTTGACGTTGAGATAATCCATATTGAAGGCTGCAGTCTTTGATCTTCTGCAGCAAGTGTTGAAAGTCCTCCCCTCACTTTCAGCATGAAAGGTTGTGTCATTTGTATAAAGATATTGATGTGGCTTGCCCCTATCCTCATGTCACATTCTTCTTCATAGAACCTAGTGTTTGACATTATTTGCTCAGCAAAGACTGAATTATATGGAAAAAGAATACAACCCTGACATATCTTTCTGAATTTTAAACCATGTAATAGTGTTCCCTTTCTCTGCACAATAGCTTCTTAGTCTTGCTATAGGTTTTTCATGAGCACAAGTAAATTTGTTATGATCCAGTCAAATGACTTTGCAAAGTCAATAAAACACAAATATACATTCTTCTGTTATTTTTTGCTTTCAGCAAGGATCCATCTGACATCAGCATAATATCCCTGGTTCTAGGTTCTCTTTTAAATCTAGCTTGAACTTCTGACAGTTCTGTGTACTATTATGGCTATTTTTTAATGATCTTTAGCAGTATTTTGCTTGCATATGATATTTTCTGATAATTTCCAAGTTCGTTTGTGCCACCTTTCTTGGGAATGGGGACAAATTTAGGTCTCTTCCAGTCAGTGGGCCAGGCAGATGTCCTCCAAAATTTCCTGGCATATTCTGGTCAGTGTGTCCACAGCTGCATATCTCATCTGAAACATATCAACTAATATCCCATTCTGGGACCTTATTTTTTGTGCTTTCATTGCAGCTTAAAATTCTTCCTTCCTTACCATTAGCTCTTGAGCATATAATTTAAAAGTTAGGAATATATGAGAAAACAATTTTTAAAAAAGATTGAACTATATTTTATTTCACGTATACACTATTCTGACAGTATAAGAAAAGAATCATCCTTACCCTTATCCCAATCCATCATTCTTTTCTTCAGTAGTAAACCTTACATTATACTTGTGGGAAGAGTCTGTTTTTTCATGTCATTGTAGGATCCTGGGAAAGTCTCAGGCTTTACAGAGTTCTTTATCAATCAGATACACTTGAGCATAACGTGTTTTACTGCTAACATTAAGGTCAGACATTCTAATCCACCAGCTGCTTCAAGCATGACAATCAGGTACTCTGCTCTTTTAAAAATTCAGTCTCAGAAACACATGGGAGGGTCAAATGAGAACCTCCGATGGAGTTCTTGCAACTAACTACCCTATACTTGTTGTTGTTATTGTCGATTGCCATTGAGTTGAGCATGACATAACAACACAATGAACAATAGGCCTGAAGCCTTTCTGTAACTATTGCCATTTCTCAAAGTTCATAGAGTTTCCAGAGGCATGTTGTTTAGGAAGTGGATGCCACTCCTGCTTACCCTATCCCTACCCTAGACGATATATGAATTTATACATTATTTGAATATGAGTTATATATTTATTATTTATAATTTATATATGATTTGAAGTGGTTCTCAGACAACATCTGGGAGTCACTGAAGTAGATGATCTATGATATACAAAGAAAAAACTATTCCAGACATATTCTTTCTTTAATGTGTTAAGTGACCTTCTATGTCCCAAAGCTGTGACACTACTATTTAGCATTTCTTTTTTTTCTTATATACGTGTAAATAGGGGAGGGAGAAATGAAGTAAGTATGGAGTAGGATGTAGAAAGAGTAACAGTATATTTAGAAGAAAAAAGAACACAACTGATTACAGCTCAGATAAAATAAATTGTATTCTAAAAAAAAAGGTCAGTTCTTTCGCAAATAAATAGAACTATTATCACTTAATATTCCTCAAGCACTTTATCAAAGTAAAAATCTCAGACGCGTTTTTTTACAAACTCAAAAGGTATTTCATTTATTTATGCAACAAATATTTATTATGCAGTTTAATTTGCAATTCCCACACTATTTAGGTAAAGTACTGAGTGACACATAAAGAAGATCTTGACTTTCATTCATGATGATCACAACTGGACAATGATCAGAAATCATTTAACTATGACTGATTATGAAGTATATGATCTGTCCTTTGCTTTATATTACAATAACATTCCTTGATGGGTGGGTACACAAATGGAGCTAAGAGAAAAGAAGAAAGGCAGAAATAAGTATAAATTTGGCATTGAGAGTTGGAGAAAAATAGGTTCACAGTATAGTTTTAAAATTATTTCTTTACTAGAAAGCCAAGTCCATTTCTCTGTCCTGTATTAGATATATGTAGCAATTTTACATGAAAATGAAGTGTGAGGTTATCTATTTAGGCCTAGACAAATTCCAGCGGTATTTAATGTAGGTAATGTATGTCTGGGGGGGAAAAAACATCAATGCTTTCACTTTGGTTTTTAATACTATAACAAGCATGTTGCTTATGGCTGGCACCTTCACTGAAAAATCTTTTTTTAAAAAAAGTACTTCACTGAAGTATGTGGTATCAAAAAAGCCCTTTTAAAAAAAGTACTATTTTAACAGAAGCAATTTAAGTTAATTAAATGGAATTTAACATGGACTCGTCTAAAAACTTCATCTGACTTATATCCACAATTAACACCCTTGGTACCACCAGTCAGGAAAGAAGACATATTGCACTGAGAAAGTCTGCAGTCAGGAACCTCTCTCCAAATTATTGAGGAGGAATGATGTTAGTTTGAGGATTAAGGTGCACCTGATTCAGGTCATGGTCTTTTCAATCGCTTGATATGATTCTGAGAGCTGGAAAATGAATAACGATGACATAATTGATTTCTTTGGGCTATGTTATTGGAGATGAGTACTGAATTTTCCATGGACTAACAAAAAGAACAAACAGATGACTGGAAGAAGGTACAGACGGAGTGCTTCTTGGAGGCAAAGGTGAGAAATCTTCATCTCGCATATTTAGGACATGTTGCGAGGAGAGGCTACTCCTTGGAGAATGACATTGTGCTTGAAAAAGTGGAAGGCTGGCAAAAAAAGGAAGTCCCTCAACCACCATGGATTGACACAGTGACAACAGCAATGGGCTCAAATATGCCAGAGACTGGGAAGATAATACAGGATAGGACAGGATTCATATTTGTGTTCGTCAGGTCAGTGTGAGTCAAACTCAATTTGCTATCACCTAACAACATAGAAAGATTTCACACTATATTAAATACACAGACTAAGTTCCGGAACACGTTTATTGTTAATGTTGGTTATTATCAAGTCGATCAGACCCACACTGATCCTACCTGTACAGAGTAAAACTGAGCCATATGGTTTTGAAAACACAAGGCCAAGCCTATCTTCCAAGGTGACTCTTGTTGTTGGGTATAATCAAGTTGGAACTGACCCTAGCTGATCATCTGGCGGGTTTTCAGAGGAAGGAAACAGATGGGAGGAAACAGCCCTTCTCCCACGGAGTAGCTGGTAGAGTAGCTGGTGAATTTAAATCATGTGCCTCTGAGATTGCGGCACAAAGCTGCTTATCAGTAGGCCACCAGAGCTCCTGAAGGTGACTCTAGGTAGGTTCAATGTCCCAACCTTTCAGCTAACAACCTCTACTACCCAGAGATGCCTCCTGAAAGTTTAAATTAACCATAATGAAACCCAAACACATTTTTCAAACAATTCCCTCATTTGGTCATTATATAACTAGATCTTGAAACAGTGCGTGTTTTCTTGGTTGGGTTTTTTGTTTGATTTTGGTTTTTTTATGACATTTTAAGAAAGACCCTGAGCAGGCAAAAAAGTAAATAATAAAAATTAAAAAATGCTGAACTCACCTCTTGTCCTGATTTTCCTGAATTCTCTGCATGTAAAGATTCAATCTCTCCTTCAATCATAGCGGCTTCTAGGCACTCATGTAAGTCTTTGAAACCATTCACCTGAAGTGGGTACTGGCCAAACATTTCAGTATTTTCAAATTTTTTACCTGAAGAAAGGTGAGGAAAGGAGAATGGTAATTAAATCAATGTTTCTCAGAATGGCCTTTTAGCTACTAAAATATTTACTGATGCACATTTTATCTTGTAACAAGTAACTCTAATACTCCACAATGGAGTGAGTATAATTTTCTAGTTGGTCTATACATGTTTATATATAAACATACATGTAGTTATAGAAATTACACATAAAGATAACTGTGTATATATAATTATATACATATGTACGTATGTATATATTCATTCTTTCAACAAGCACCTTCCAACAAGGCAAAGTATTTTACTAAGCAAAGGATATATAATGCACTAAACATGGGAGTTAGTGTCCCTAAACTAAGGAAACTCTCAGCTTTGAAACCAGAAAAATCATTATACTCATCAATTTACACATGTATTTATGCATGTATGGATTTATAATACTATAAATATTATGAGATAGGGTATTTTAAGAATTTATAAATATAATTTCCTTCTCGAAGGACCAGTCTCTCCTGGCCACATGTCTAAAGTATGTGAGATGGAGCTTCAAAATCCCAGCCTCCAAGGAGAAACCTGGTTTCACCCTCTCCTAGACAAACCTATTTGCTTTCTCGGCAGTCAATAGTGTATTCAAGACTCTTCTTTATCTCCACAACATGAAGGCATTGATTCTTCCTCTTCTCTGTCATCCTAACTGTCCATCTCTCTGATGCACTACAAGTAATTATGAAGATCACGGCCTGAATTAGGCACACCTTAGTCTCTAGACTGATATTACTGCTTTTCAACACTGCTGTCCCTAACAGCAGATTTCCCAATACAATTTGTCTTTGGTTTTCCTGACTGCTGGTGTTAAGAGTGTTGATTGCAGAGCCAAGCAATCTGTAATTGTTAACAACCTCAATCTCTTCTTCATCTATCATGGTACTTCCAATTGGTCCAAGTAGTGGGAATCTTTGTCTTCTTGAAATTGAGCCTCAATCCATATTGAAGACTACAGTCCTTGACCTTCTACAGTAGTCAGGTTGTCTTCAATTCCAGCAAACAAGGATGTGTTATCTGCATAACACAGGTGATTGCTGAGTCTTCCTCCAATCTTGATGTCTCATTCCTCCTCATAAAGACCTTTTGCATACAGATTGAATATGTATGGAGACACAATGCATTCCTGACACACTCCTTTCCTGATTTTGAACCATGAGTGTTTCCCTGCTCTGTTCTGAGGACTGCTTCCTGGCCCATGTATTGGTGTCACATAACCACAATTAAGTGTTCTGGGATTCCCAATTTCATCAAAGTTAGACACAATTTGTTGTGATCCACACAGTCAAGTGCCTTTGCATAGTCAATAATACAGTGATAGACATTCTTTTGGTACTCTTTGCAACATTCATTGACAGGTATTTAAATAAGAATGAATTTAAGAACCACTATAATAAAAGTACAAATACTTCTAAGGTTATGTTTGGTCACAACCTGACTAAAGCTTTTCTCTACTGATTCAGATATACTATTAAATATCAGTTAAAGTCAGTAAGATAAAAGAGTCATCCACATTGGAACATAAAGCACTATGTAAAATATTTCACTTGAATGATAAATATTTAGCATTAGAGGCAAACTAAAATACACAGACACTCAACACAATCTTTTCATAACAATAAATCTTAAGTTAATGTTTGCCTTTTTCTGAAACCTATAATAGGGAATTATACTCAAAAAAGTCATGAGTCATGACATTATTACTTAAGATCTTAAAGAAAAACAATTTTCCAAACTTTGTACTTGGGGAGATATAAAACACACACACACACACACACACACACACACACACACACACACTCTTACTTTACTTTACAAAGGCTGATGTATTGAGAAATTAGGGAAAACATAAAAAAAGTTAAAGTCATGGGGCTACAATATTATATACAACACAGTAAACTCACATTACTTCTCTTATTATGGTAGACAAAGAGAATCAAGATTAAAGCTGGATTATCAGTAATATGTATTTTAGGTTTTATGAAGTAATGTTATTCTTAACTACATTCCCAAAGGAGGTAGTACAACCATTTTCAAAACTAATGAGTTAAAAATTGTGTAATCATTCAAAAAATGAGGTCTCTACACAACCTAGGTAGAGACAGACATTCTGTTTGAGTCCAATCAAGTGCTCTGGGATTCACATTCTTCTCAATGTCAGCCACAACCTCTTATAATTCACAGAGTCAAATGCCTTTTCATAGTCAATAAAGCACTAACAGACATTCTCCTAGTATTCCTTACTTTCTGCCAGGACCCATCTGACATCAGCAATGATATCCCTGGTGCCATGGCCTCATCTAAATCCTGCTTGAACTTTCGTCAGTTCCCTATCTGTGTACTGTTCCAGCTGATTGTGAATGATCTTCAGAAGTATTTTATTTGCATGTGATATAAATAATATTGTTCAATAGTCTCCACATTCAGTTGGATCACCTTTCTTGGGAATGGGAACAAATATGGACCTCTTCCCGTTTGTTGGACAGACAGATGTCCTCTAGATTTCATAGCATAGACTGATGAATGCATCCAAGGCTGCGTCTCTTAACTGAAACAAGTCAAATGGTATCCCATTGATTTCTGGGGCTTTATTTTTATGCAAATGTCTTCAATGTAGCTTCTACTTGCTCATTCATTACCACTGGCTCCTGTTCATATGGTACTTCCTGAAATTTTTCAGTGTCAATCAATTCTTTCAGGTACAATAATTCTGTGTATTCCCTCCTCCTTCTTTTGATGCTTTCTCAGGCATTAAATATATTGCCAATAGCATCTCTCAATAATGCAACATGAGACTTAAATTTTCCAGCCTTTCAGCCTGTGAAATGCCAAGTGAGTTCTTCCCTTTTTATTCTCCAATCTCAGCTCTCTGTACATTCCATTATAATAGTGTGCTTTGTCCTCCTGAGCAGCCCTTTGAAATCTTCTGTTCAGCTGTTTCACTTCAACATGCTTTACTTTTGTCACCAGGAAGGTTTTGTGCACACAGAGCAGGAGAACACTGACTGGTTTGGAATTGGAAAGGGAATGCACCAGGGTTTTATTCTCTCTCCATCCCTATTCAATCTGTATGCTGAGAAAATTATCCGAGAAACTGGACTTTATGTTGAGGAGTGTGGCATCAGGATTGGAAAGAGACTCATCAATAACCTGTATTATGCAGATGACACAATCTTGATTGCTGAATGTGAGGAGGACTTGAAGCACTTGTTGCAAGAGATCAAGGAATGCAGTCTTTGGTATAGATTACATCTCAATGTCAAGAAAACACAAATTCTTACCATTGCACTGGACTGAGAGGTAGTGTCATGATGGATGGAGAGACTGAAACTATCAACAGCTTCATCTCGCTTGGATTTACAAATTAATATCCTTGATACCAGTAGTCGGCCAATGAGGAAATACATTGCACTGAGAAAAATCTGCAGTTAGGGACTTCTCCAAATTATTGAGGATTAATGAAGTCAGTTTGAGAACTAAGATGTGTCTGGTTCACACCATAATCTTTCTGATCACTTGCTATGCATCTGAGAGCTGAACAATTAATAAGGATGACAGGAAAAGAACTGACGTCTTTGAAGTGTGGTGTTGGAGAAAGAGCAATGAACACCCTATGGATGGCCAAGAGAACAAAACAGATACGTCTGGGAGCGGGTGTAGCCAGAGTGCTCTTTGGAGGCAAGAATGATGAGGCTTCACCTCACATACTTTGGGCATGTTGCTAGGAGGTGCTATTCCTTGAAGGGAATGATGCTGAGAAGGGTGGAGGGTCAACAAAGAACAGGAAGACCTTCAACCAGGTGGACTGGTACAATGACTCCTGCAATGGGTTCTTGTGTGTCAGGAAGTATGAGAATGGCACACAATAGAACAGTGTTCAGTTCTTTTGTGTATAAGTTCACAATGAGTAATGGGTGACTCAACAGCACCTAAAACCAACAACACTACCCAGACTATGCCAAAATCAATTTTCAACAGGAGGTTACACTGCAGAGATTTAAAACTCTTCAAAATTATGCCAGCATTCTTATTAAGCCGAGCATTCAACTCCAATATTCTTATCAAAAGCTCTAGTAATAGTCCCATTAAAAGAGCAGGCTGCAGTTGCAGAATCCCTGTCTATTCAGGTACACAACTGGCATTAGTATCCCTGAAGTTTACAACAAAAGACTCTTGGAATAATTTCTCTTTTCATCAGATTACAAGGAAAATTCACTTTTAAACTTACCACAAATTTTATCTTAAATTATCAAAGGGATGGAATTTATAATCTTAACTCTTGCCTTGAAAATTTGGTAATGAAAAGAGTCTACTTTAAAGTCTTGGAATGATCTTTGCTGTTAACATTTGAGCATTAGAACACTGTCACTTTCCTCTTTTGGCTGATAAAAAAGACATATTTGAAAAAGAAGAGTGTCAACTAATACCAAGGACTATAAACGTCATTAAAGAAAAGCTTGGAAAAACTCTAGAAGTCCTAATACACAATATAAACAATCTTCTAAGTATCCTGAAAAATCTACAACCAGGAAAAGATAAAAAAGATAAATAGGCCCTTCCAAAAATCAAATTCCCTATGCACATCCAAAATTTTCTCCAACAGGGTAAAAAGGGTAGCCGCAGACTGGGAAAAAGTATTTGGTAATGATATGTCAGGTAAGGGACTTATATCTAGAATTTATAAAATATTTGAGTACCACAACAAGATACAGGTAAATAATCCAATTGAAAAATGGGCACAGGATATGATCAGACACTTCATCACAGAAGACAATCAGATGACTAACAAGCAAATGAATAAATGTTCAAAATCCCTAGCTCTAAGAGAGATGCAAATCAAAACAACTATGAGATATCATCTCACCCCAGTCAAAATAGCAAAATTTAACA